TCTGCAGAGAGGTTCTGTATTGAGTTCATTCTGATGGTCTGACGAGAGTTGAACTTTCACATCGGCTACAAGAAATGCCTTCCCCTACTTCATTTACCAGCTTTCAGGCAATAGCGTTTCCTGCCTCAATTCCCACACTGCTCCCGCCATCTTACCACAGTTTGTTTATCCATTGATCCATTTTCTATTCCGCTTATCCATTCCAGGGCTGCAGGGGGTGCTGGAGCCTATCCCGGCAAGCAGGATACACCCTGGATGGGACGCCACTCTGTAGCTTTTTACACTACATACACATGCACACGCTCATAAAAGGGCCAAATTTACAAGAAGTCATTTAATCTACCATCTTGTCTTTGGACTGTGGGAGGAAAACAGAGCACATTGAGTAGATACAAATTATATGCAGATAGCACCTAGAAGCAATGTTGCGCCACCCTTTTTTGCCCCACTGACTGCAGGGCCGGATTTTGGTGTTCGTAGGCTCTAGGCACTTTCTCTCCGAAGTGTGCAAAAAGGTGACTAATGCCGCTTGAATTATGTCTATTGACACGACGCACTTTCAACTATTCTAATGCTCAACCACGTGATTGATGGAGTGAGCCGAGTGATCATCACTTCGATACTTCTAGTTTCTAGAACAGCCGCTAGATAGCGTATGATCATTATTTGGAGCACCTAGAGTCGATCACAAGCTTGTTGTTTCAGCACATTTTTCATTAGTCACTAGTGTTTCCCTCCTACGTAGGCCCTAAAAATTCTGTAGGCCCTAGGCACTGTGCCTACAGAGATCTGGCACTGACTGCCTGGGATTAAATAGTAGTGTGTATAGTAGTAGAACTGGAACACACTTGATGGTAATTGTATCCTTATAATATTATTGCTTGTGATTTATTATTGAATATCATGTGCTATGCTTAATGTCAGGAGTGTCTATTCCTGGTTCTTGCTTAGCTTAATAGGACAAGTTTAGCAACTGTACTGACACTTCACTTCAGATGTTCCTGCTTTACAGACACAATGGGTCGCCAGGACCAGAGGCTTGGACAGCCCTGAAATATGTTGTAAGAATTTGGTCCAGGGCTTGGAAGAGAAATTTCTCAAAATCTATCCTATACTGGAAAGTAAAGCAATGAAGAAATGTCCTCTCCTCATCACTCATGAGACAAAATATTTGGCTGGTCTCATCATGTTATATTAAAAATGCCAAAAGTCTACTGTCTTTATGATACATTAACCATCTTAAATATTCACTAGTAGTGAATGGATTTTGATGTTGCTTATGATGATGTCGGTAATGATGGTAAACTTAAAAAAACTTGTCATCAAAATAAAGCATTTTTAGAGAGAAAAAATCGCTGGTGGAGAGTCTTCACCAAATGAAAATTTGCACTGTAGGCAAATAACTCAACTTTATTTAAAAACAGCAAGTTTATTTCTATTTTTTTTTGTTTGTTTTAAGTATATTTTTTGACTGGAGGAGTCATTAGAATTGCAGCCTTGCAGTGCTGGGGCCTGGGTTTAGTTTGGGACCTGGTGTGCTCTCTGTGTGGAGTTCATATGTTCTCACCATGTTTGTGTGGGGTTTTCTCTGGGTGCTCTGGTGTACTCCCACAGTCCAACGACATATTTGTAGGTTAATTGGTTTCTGGGAAAATTGGCTCTGGTGTGTGTGTCTGTGTATCTGTCTGTCCAGCGATTGATTGGTGTGTCCCTTTTCGTGCCTGTTGCTTGTAGAGATAGACTCCAGCTCCCCCACAACCCTGAATTTGACAAAGCAGTTAGGAAATGGATGCATATTTTATTACATATGAATGTATTTTTGCCCTGTTTGAGGTGAAACGAAAGAAAAAGGGGAAGTTTTATAATATAGTAATTAAAGTTATTTAAAACAAACACATCCACATATAGCCCCCTAATTTATTTGTATTCTCAAGTATATGTACAAAGAGAAATAAGATCTTCAGTGAACAGAAGTTTGAGCTGTTAATCATTGTCATATTTGCCCCGATGAATTGGTTAAAAAAAAGTCCTACTGTATAATGAATGTATACATTATTTTGCCTCAACTTCCACAGCTTCATTTTATTTAAAGCAAACTAAGAAAACCTCTTATCTGGAGTCCCTTATGTATGCAGTAACCATAAATCTTCAACCTTCCAATGTCTCAAACCACATTCCAGTGTGAGCCTTACAGTATTGTCATCTTTATTAAGGCCAGACCATTTTTAAACTTTCTGAACCCAATACTGAAAGAAACACTGTAATTTGTAAAACAAAAATGTGATAAATAATGGAAACATTCAACTGCAGCTACTGTATATAAAGCTAATTTTTGCATATACTCAGTCAAGTGAAAATATTATTGATTGTTTCATTCCTTAGTCATGCTTGGGTTTGTGGATTATAATGGATGCTGAACAGAAAATTTCACAGATTTTAAAGTGAAAGACCTGAATGAAGTGACCTAAACTTGTCGATAAAAAAAATAAACGTTTCACCAGATTTGCTAAGCATTGGCAAAAGGAAGGGCAAAAAAAATCATAGCGAATGAAAGTTTTACGGAAACCTCGGTAGATACTGTAGATCGTTGAAAAGATTGAGAAGTAATTGCAGATGGAGAGTTTAGTCAGATGTACCCTATCTGTATTATTACATTCATGCAAATGATGATTGTATGTTAAGTGCACTTTGTGCTTAAAGTTTGATAAAGGATGCACAGCTCAGCTTCATATGGTGTAGTGAACATTCCAACTACTGTAATCCAGTCACATAGTTTACTTTACCACTGTGAGTCACACAGAGTTGCTAAAGTATATAATTATTTTCAGATACAATAGATAATTCTCTATCACACTGCAGAGAACTTCAGATTCTTCTTTAACTCTCATAAATTGTGTATCAAATTGTGTTCTCTCATGCGGAGTGCAATGTACCACTGTGTCTTTTCTGACACACTATGCATGTATGAGTTTGTAGTTCTCAAATGCAGCCAAAAAAATGCATCCTCTCTTCTCCATCCTAAATAAAAAGCTCTATTGCAGGATATGCATGGCCATTTCTGCCTTCGATCTCTTCTCTGTTCTTGCTGAGCAGACCATAGTGCATGAGCTGAACATTTATTATTCTGCTCTTTACTTCAAGGTTAGAGCATAGTGTTGCAGGGCACCCAAGCCAAGTGTAAATGGCAGATTTCTGCTACAGATATGCAGACATGACTCGGAAGGACTGGGAGCAGACACAGCATATTGGTATTTAACCCTCTTACACTCACTTGTATTGTGTCTCAATGAAAATAGAATCAAGGGAGGGTTTTAAATAGGGAGTCTGAGGCTGCCACATGATGTACAGAACGCAAATTGCATTTCAAAATGACATACTATAGATTTCCTTGATTGTTTGAAGGGATGTGTGAACGATAATGTCCTGTCCAGGGTGTATCCTGCCTTGGGTCTATTGCTTGCCGATTCAGGCTACAGCTTCAGTATATTTCTATACTGGATATTGTAAATAGAGTGATGAAAAGAAATCACTTTAGTTGTGACATTTTATTTGAAGTCCTCAACATG